AATGCGGTTAGAATATTCCAAGTCTCCATGTTTGTTCTTGCTTTAATCGAAAGAAGATACGTCGGTTTGTTGTGGCGCTCTATTTGACCAAACTTGCGCACACGTATATCCTAGTGTGGTGAGAGCAGGCTGCTAGCCGATTGGTTGGCACTAATCTACGTTAAGGTCTAGGTCACTAATATGGGCCGTGAACAAGGCTGAGTCAACAACCAATCACAGCGAAGTTAACGTGGCAAAATATGATTCGCAGATAGAGAACTCTGTTTGTCAAGGAATCCCGAAACAACCAATCAGAAGCCTGCGTTTGTCTACCTAAACAACCAATCAGATGACTGCGCTTGTCTATAATAATGTTGTCTGAAATATGTATAAATACGTGTTGATTTTCATAATAAAACGATCTGTTGCCTGGCCCTTGTCTTCTGTTGTTACATTTGGTGTCGCTGCCTACCGACAAATGAAAAGCCTATACCCTGCAGTTTTTGATGGAGACATATGGATCTTCGGGCAGGACTTCAAGGCTTCTGCGCAGTTGAGTGGCGTTCAAGATCTGTCAGCGATGGAGCTGCTACTTGAGACGCTGCTGGGAGGTCGGGTGAAAGCAGCATATGAAGGTGTCGGCCGAAGTATGGACGAATGTTCGACAGGGTCAGGCAAACAGTTTCCAAAGTGGGAAGGACCATATATGGTCACTTCGAGATGGGGTTACGCAGACACAGTCGCAATGGCGAACAATGAGAGGCGCGTGAACGTCAGCGAGCTCCAGAAATGGATACAGCGAGACAAGCCAACGATGACGCCTGCACCAAGTAGATCAAGCCGACTTCAGTCGCACGTATTTGACGGGGGGACGAGTGTGGTGAGAGCAGGCTGCTAGCCGATTGGTTGGCACTAATCTACGTTAAGGTCTAGGTCACTAATATGGGCCGTGAACAAGGCTGAGTCAACAACCAATCACAGCGAAGTTAACGTGGCAAAATATGATTCGCAGATAGAGAACTCTGTTTGTCAAGGAATCCCGAAACAACCAATCAGAAGCCTGCGTTTGTCTACCTAAACAACCAATCAGATGACTGCGCTTGTCTATAATAATGTTGTCTGAAATATGTATAAATACGTGTTGATTTTCATAATAAAACGATCTGTTGCCTGGCCCTTGTCTTCTGTTGTTACACTAGTACTTCTTCTCGTTTATTATTTCGCCCTAACGTTGTGTTTGCTCGACGTCCACAACGTAAATCAAAAGCCACTTGAGAAGCTGAACAAACATGTATTGTCGCAGCAATCAAAATTCAAAAGTTGAGCGATTACAAAAGTATCAATTGTTAACACGCAATATTTAGAGTGATAAACAATTCAAAGTCCAATTACATAGTAAAAGTATACTAAAATGATGAGTAATAAAATGGGTCACTACAAGTTAACTAGCTTCGCGAAAGCTTCCACTAGCCTCCATCATTTCGACTCCCCGATTTAAGCAGATGTTACTTTTTATTCTTCATATTTTCTCTGCTTCAGATATCCCGTAATGATTAGATTGATTAGCCAGGGTGAGATCACCAGCTTCATGTCCAGACTTCCTTCGTTTTCTGGGCTTAGGGCCTACTAATAAACTAAGCCAGGTTAGGGGGCATTTTAGGTTCCACCTTATTTCTATTCTTCATAGATGACGCAGTTTTCTCAACCACTTAGGTTACGTCACGGTTCTTTACAAGTGTTTTGAAAATAGGCTGTGACTTTCATACTTAAAATTTCATGAACTTTAAAATTAAAACTGAACAGGGTCTAGACTGACCAGTTATAAGTGGAGTTTAAAAAACAACTTGCCTTAAACCTAGTATGGGCACTGGAAACCTAAAAACGCCTTTATATGTAATGCAACTCACTTAAAATTCCAACGTAAGTCATACGGTTTTGGGGTTAAACGTTCGGACTGAACTTTTCCCTACTAGGTGGATAGACTTTCTCAATATTCACAAGATCCACGTAAATTTCTAATTCGGAATCCAGATTAGTTATCTACAAGACATTGAAGATAGGCGAAGACGTTTTATGAAACTTGTTGAGCCATCATAAACAAGCGGACTGTATTAACAGATGAACTGACCTGAAATTAGAACCTCAGTGGTTAGGAAGGGTGAATTACAACTTACTCTATCGCTTCATCGGTGTTCAGAATCCGCATCAAACTGATATCTTGACGGTGTCAGCTAGCCTTAAATAAGTCTCACCTACCTAAAGTGTTTAGTGATTGACAGAATACGAGGATGCAGTACTTCATTGTCAAATGCACCAGTCCAGAACAAGTTCTTGTGAGACCCTTGAGCGAATCGAATGAAGTATGGACGAATGTACTCATTTATCGTCTACAGCTTACCTAATGGACTTCAGTCATCCTCCGTAAGGAAGTAAATACCATTCAGTCAAAACTGCAAACACTAGGTCTCAGTTTGAGAGTTACGTCCTTTCAGGCACGGGTTTTAGAAATATTTTGCGCAAATAACTATCAAATCGCTCTTACCTGGGATAGCGACAACAATACAACGAAACGTTATATTCGTAGCTGACACGATGGTCAGTACAGATCAGCTAGTTCTATATAGCTGCCATCCCACACTCTTCTCCTGCTAATGGATTTCATCTATCTCCATCTTATAGCATTTTGTTTCTCCTTCTTTATTTTCCTTTTGATTCGTCCTTTTGTTGTGGACTAAAGGGCTAACCTCGTTTACACGCGAATAAAAAGGATAAAACAAATACAAACATGTCTCTATGTAGAGGGGAATTCACTTCACACAAATTAATATACGTATAAAGTAGAGTTACTTGATGAGTTATAATTGTCCCAAAATACACAAGTAAAGACGTACAGAATTGTAGTGAAGTAGTCCTTTTTCGGCATGCAGTTACTCACTCCACTTAAGAATACGCCAACAGCTCACGGGTGTTTGCGGAGAATGAAGTAAAGGATCCAAATGAGGATGTACGGATCAGGTACGAGCCAGAGATGATTAGCAACAGTGGAACGTAAGAAGGTGGAGATGGAAGTTGTGTCGACCACACTGTGTGTGGAACAGGGTCGTGTCCTTATTCAACCTCAGTTAACAACCATGATGTGGAGTGAATTCAATATTTCTACTATTCTACAACTAGCACATAATCTGGTATTTTTTCGGCCTCCACACTTTGCCCCAAACTGCATTAAGTAGCCACGCCATTATCTCTCTCCATCATCTTATTGTAGTAACTTCCAAAGCTTTTTAATGTCCCAGATAGAAATATTCGTCTTTAACTCGGCAGTTGCCTTCCGGCGACAGACCACAACTGTGAGCTCCTAGCTTCATATGGGACACACCATGAACAGGTCGGTTCCAAAACACGAAAAGAAGAATGGGTGAATCGAGAAGAACATCTGTTAATCTTGCTTTACCTAGAGAAGCTTACTTCACGTAGTTTAGTTGCTTTTTGTGGTTCTTATCTTATTTTGTTCTGACAGTGTAATTTCCTACCGTAAATTTGGCTTTATCTATATCCTTGACTGAACCCCTTTTTTGACCTCTTTTCAGCTGAACTATTTTGACCCTTACATAACTGCATTGTTGATTGATTAGGTAGGATATGTTTATGTAATTGCAAAAAATTTTCTGATTGTTTCTGTATATACTAACGAGCCTAACAACTGTTTTTATTCAAGTGTTGGTTTGTAGGGATTTGATTGATCACAGGATTTCATCATGAGCTGACATTGGTTAGAGAACCATTGGAAAACCAGCTGGGAGTACTAGATCGGGTCCCAGTGGATTAATGGTCTACGAGCTCACCTTGTAACCAGGTCCTGGGTGCCTACTGATGAAGAGTCCCGAACTAAGACGAAACAGCTCTCCAGTACTCCCAGCTGGTTTTCCAATGGTTCTCTAACCAATGTCAGCTCATGATGATATCCTGTAATTGCTTTTATGCCTTTCTATTTAGTCACATGATATGAATATCCTTCACTGTTATGGCCAATAACTACATGATTTAGATATACAGCATACGACTATTAAGCTGTTCATGGTTGTACGGAGTTGAAAAGAGCCCATGAAATGTATTGACGTCATTCTGTCCTGAACAATGTGTTCGTTTAGTTTTGTTTAAGGATGGGAATAAGCCACAACCTCTTTTACTGTGTATTAATTATGACTAAGAATGGGAAACTTGACCATACTAGTAATGTGTACTTGTGTGATAATTGCCTTCTCACTAATGTTTCGATTGTCTCCAGCTTTCAGGCCGGAAATGTACACCATAGTTAATTTTAACACACCCTGTGGTTTTTTAAAAGTTCATTCTATGTTACTATGAGTTTATAGTATACATCGCCTCCAAACAAGGTCATCAACTAATTTATGCTGCTAGCATATTTCGAAAAGTAGGGAGAGAGAGAGAGAGAGAGCCGGTAATCTTGATATATGAGAACAGAAAGTGCATTAGTATATAAAGATTATGAAGGTACCATGATCTAACATTTCGCAGTCGACTGCGTAATTTTATTATTGTTATGTAAACTTGACTGGCTTATTTGAGGTCGTCCTTCTCTAGAAGCACTGCTAGAGTGCTTGAAGAACCTTATTATCAGTGTTCAAGGATTTGAATTAATGCTATCGACAAGACGGACCGGAAGGCAATAAATTCCTCTTAAGGCCTAACAAAATAGTGGGGAAGGAGTTTCTTAAGCGTCCACAAGACAATGTCAGCAATCTCCTTAATGGATTGTAAATTCCAGTCAAACTATAATCCAATTTAAGCTTTCCGATATCAACTGGAGTAGTTCAATAATATGCGGGATGGGTGGGTAGAGGCGCCTACAGTTACGCAAAAAATATTTTGTACAGACCGGCCAATATCTTAGCATTCTGAACTATATTACAGGGTTACGAATACTACATAATATTGACACCAGTAAATACCATTTAAAAACGTAATCATTTCTCATAGATAGTCTTATAAAGGATAAAACGCGCAAGGTGTAAACTTTTAGAGGATACTTTTATCATATATAATATATACAATGTACATTATTGAACTTATCAAATGAAAGGATGATAATGATACTGATGACAGAAATAATAATGATGATACAAGAATATTATAAAGAAAACAAACAAATGAAATAGAGAAAAAACAAAGTTATTTAAGCGCTAAACTCAATTCAATGTACGCTTGAATGCGGTCATTTTAAATTTTAATCACACTCATTTCTAACTAACACAACACACTGTAAAGTGTTTTCAAGGTATTAAGGACTTCTAGAGATTTCAAAAGTTGAAAATATACATCTATAATATTCGCCTCAAACACACAAATACATATAATTGTATGATGTACCAAAAAATGAGGAGGAGGAGGAGGACGAATTTTAAATTTCGCTCTCACATTAAAACAACATGCAACTAACTACATTAAGAAAAATAAATTTCAAAGTGTTTCAGTGTTCAATAGCTTAAAATGGTAAAGATGAGCAAATAAATATCTGTTTCTAATGATAACCATACTTTATAAGAATAAATAAAGAGATAAGTATAATTAGATGAAAAAGAAAATTGGTTAGCATATCTCAACTTTCAGAGCTTGAGTATTCCACCCGTTCATCTGCCTATCTTACTCACTTTGCATCAAACTGTGTTTGTTGTAGACAATATTATTATCGTTATATATATATATATATATATATTTATATATGGTTTGACGGAGAACATTAGCATAACTGAACCTTACTTATCGAATTAATCTACTCCATTGACCAAAATACGAACTGGTAAACGATACAGTTCCGTGAACAAGAATGGAAATAAAATAAGTAAATTATGATTGATTTTATACGTAAAGACCAAACGGTGAATAAACGCATGTAAGTGTATCATAGCATTAAAACAAAAATTTGAATTTCCCTGAAGTTCATTTTGAATCCAAGTACCACGCAAAAATAATAAATTTAAACACAACATTTAACAGTAAACTTATGATTCTCAAGTACTAAAATTAAGCGAAAAGATAACTGAAAACAAGTCAAAACAGTGTGAAATAATCTTGACAAATTGTAAATAAAACAAACAAGTGAGGACTAAAAACAGAAGCTAAGAAAATAATAAGCCAGAGGTTATTGGAACATTGAACAATTTAAAACTTAGTCAGCTTTCTCACTCGCCATAAACGAACCACTACTAAATTAATGACTGGATCAACAAAACTCGATTTCATGACATGTATTCATTTGTAAATCATGTGACAACCCTTTTGTAAAATATCACTCTATTTATTGCATGAATTACTCGGTTGGTCAAAAGTGTAAACACATTCAAAATTCAATGTCTTCCTCATTTTAGACAAAAATAGAAGAATGATACTTTTAACATGAATGACTGAAAACTCAGTGTATAAAGTAGTATTTACACAAAAAAAGAGCGCGATAAAAGATACATCAAAGCAGCAGTGATCAACCAAAATGATCAAGCCACCCATTGAAAAGCATAATTTTTTGTTTTATTTATGTAAGTAAATGATACTTCATAGATTTTCAGAAAATAGCGGTTGATTTAACGGGAAAAAATGTGCATCATGCGCCAAGTACACCTTAACTACACCGCTACTACTATGCTTAACAACAATACTGAATGACGAATAAAGTAAGTTTTTGTATGAACCGGGATAACACCAAAAAAGGAACATCTATCTTCTTTCCATCAAAATTTGTTTGTATTTTTCTCTCTCTTTTGCTTTTTTTTGTTTGTTTTCAAAATACCAACAAACAAAACGCAAAAGATGAGACACACAGAAAGAAATGTTGAAAAGCAAAAATAAATAAATAAACAAACAGAAAGTGAGGAAGTTAAAGGAAAACGATTCAAATATAAACAAAGCGCATACTGAATAGATCAAGTTACGTTTTCCTTTAACTCCAAATTTTTAAAACTGATATCAATGTAATGCAGTCGAGTAAGTAGTACAGGGCAACACAACATAAAAACGAAAGTTCACGAAAAATTATTTGTTAAAATAACGATGTAATAGAAAGACAGAAAACTAGGTAAAATAAAATTCATTTCTTTTCTCTCAATACAGAACTTCTTTATTCCCATGTTTTTACGAAAAAAATAAGTTTGTTCTTTTATTTTCTTTTTCCTGTTGGATTGTGCATAATGGTGGATGGGAGAGGTGGCTTGGGGGGGGGAATCGAAGCGGAGGAGGTTGAGTAGGAAGAGGAGGCAGATTCAAACTCGAAATGATGTCATATAGAATCTAAAGGTTATTTATTGAACTTTTCCTTCTCCTTAAAAATTTATTTCCTTCGAAAGGAGATTGAAGAGTGTCGTAGAGGAGTGAAGACAAAAAAAATTTAAAAAAGTTGTGCTTTACGCTTTAAATCATTACGTTTCCATTCAGGAAGACGATAAAATACTGTTCGAGATAGTGAGAATACTTGATGAAATTCTTCATCTGATAAATGTGCCTATACAACACAGTGTGATGTTTGTTAGCGCCCGACCAGTGCAGAATCGATGGGTGATGGAAGAGTAAAAAGAAAAAGAAAACTTTTGGTTAACATTCTGTTATAACAAAACACTGAAATTATAACTGAAAATCTGTGTTGAAAACTGTGAATTATTATTAAATATCTGTCAGCACAGTATAAAGTCATAGCCTGTAAACATGCAGGTTCATTGCTAATTGATTAGAACCCACTGACCACTCGTCTACGTAATTCCGGTTAAGTGGGTTAGTAAAACAACAAAGAGATTGTGGCATTCTAGAGTATGATTGGTTACAGGTCTGATCACAAATTGACATCAGTTAGAGAACGGTTGAAAAACCAGGAAGTACTGGAGAACTGTCTCACCCGAGTTTTGGAGTCTTCATGAGAACACACCCACTAGGGTTGGAACCAAAGACTTTACGGTAACAAAGCAAGCACGTTGACCATTCATCCACTGCAACGCAAACCAAGAGCTCATAAATTCTAGCTTCTGCCGATTGACGGTAATGAGCGTAACCACCAGTCAATATCATAGGCGAGTAACTATTCTACTGAAAAGTCGTTATCAACGTGATCCACCAAGACTGGAGGGAGAATAGTTACCCACCTGAATTGGTTCAAAGTGACCTAATGGTCAAAGAGCTCGCCTTGTAACCGGAAGGGCCTGGTTCCAAACGCTGGTGGCCGGTATTAAAGCCTTTTTTATGATCTTCATTAATGCACCTAGTAACTGCAGTTCAAATGAAGTGAAGAATGAGTTTTATTAGTAGCTACTTAGTATTGTGTCAAAAGCAAGAGCGTTGATATATGTCCACCTTATCAGCCAACTTTAACTCTCAAGTAAGTAAAGTTAGTCCCATAACGACTACTCGACAACAGTGATCACCTTTTATAATTGTATTTCTGATCAGTATTGATTCTAAACATGAGGAAAGACATTGTGTCGGCTTACAAACTCTGCTGATACTGAGGCAACGATGGACACAATGTCACAAGTAAGTTTTCTTTCAAATCCTTTTAACAGTCTATTGGTATTCTTATTATCATTATCATCACTATTTTACGTAAACCACAAAAATTCTTAATGTCTAAGTGTTCTGATATAACTACTAAAAAGTTCATTTACCAGCTCTTGTTAATTATCACTAATTTAAAAATTACGATTGTGTAATAACGTGTCGCTAACTTTTACAAACTGTGCACTTGAAACCCCGAAGAAGATTTATAGCTAAGGTGGGCGATTTGAAGTCCGTGCTGAAGATGTTGCCTAGGAAGGTAACCAAGGCTTTGCAATTAGATATACCGATCGAGGAGAACAGAAACACATCAGAATAACTGTATACTTGAGCTGGAAGGTCATATCTTTTGTTTTCTACGTTGATTCCTATGATTATTTCCACTCATCTTGTACCTAAAGGTTACAGTGCATATTTCCTTTGATGATAAATATACATTACTATTTAACTGGGACAATACATCTAGTATTAACTTGGAACTATTGATGAGTTACTAACTGGAAAGGGGCACATCTTTCTCCTCCCTGTTTGTTGTCTTTCAAATGAAAATAACTTAGTCTCAATAGCTTCATCAAGTTGAATGATCTAACTGTGAACCTGCCATTGTCTTTCTAGATAGCGTCTTCAATAATAGTTTCGAAATGAAATGAGATTTATGGGATTCTTTATGAATAAAATAAGCCTCAAGTGTTGGTGATTTCAACTTTCCATATTAGTTAAATAAACCACAGTAAGACGAATGAGAACCAACGTCAATCAATCAATCAGTCAAAGTCATCCGGAACGATGTTCATTTCACTCATGGGGAAAACAATAAATTATCCAGCTCAGAGAGCAAAAAATACATCAAAATACATGAAACTCACTTGAGCCATATATATATTATGCATTATTCCACAAGGAGTATTTAATATACAATAATAGTAATAATGTTCTTAGAGTTTCGATATCTATCAACAAACACTTTCGCATCACACTAGGTGACTTCATTATAGTTACTGCTTCGCATACAACCTTAGAGGATCGTGAAATGTTCCAATATGTTTTATTTCTAAGAATATTGTTCCACATTATTTTTTACAAATGGCGGTAAATGTATGCATCTTCACAATATCAGAATCCTGTATTCGGCTTTGATTCATAGGGCTTAACTTTAAAAAAACCTCTAATCCATCCTTGAAAGGTAGATTACAACATCAGTGGTTCGTACATAAACCAATGGGTAGTAGACAGTTATTGCATTTTTCACTATTTGTAACTGTTCAATATTTTGAGAAACTGAAGATCACTTTTCACCTGAAGGTTAAACTCAAGACATTCAGATTTCATGTTCAGGAAGTTACCCTAATTAACCAATGAGTCAAAAATCGAATGATCAATCACTTGTAGCCCCTGTTCATTAAGGGCTATTAGAGTTAAATGGTTTAGGTATTGAATTTTCAGCCACTGGATGATGAATTCATATCCCCTTCTCCTTATCGACGATAGGTCAGTTAGGCAGGATCATTACGTCTTTCACAAAGACAATTGCATAGAATTATTTTATTTTATCTATTTCTTTAACGAAATCCGTCTTCAAGTTTTGGTTCTCAGTGATATGATCGGTTTCAAATTACATCATTAGGCTACACCACTGAAAACTGGGGAGTACTGGACAGCTGTTTCGTCCTAGTACAGGACTCCTCATCAGTACGCATTTATGGTCCCCACTTCCAGCGATCAAATGGCTCTCTAATTGATATCAGCTTGTCATCTGACTTGTAAATTCAACAACTTCATTCTAAAAACTCAATTCATCTGCACATAAAATTAAATAACATAAATGCGTGCGTGTGAATGTGTGTGTGTGTTACAGAATGAATCATCCATCCCCAGAAGTGTTTACCCACTTCACCATTTGACCTATATATGACAAGTTTTTTTCATGCTAAAAACTTCTGAAAAACTCTTCATGAAAATATCAAAATCGAATGAATCATGCATTGTTGTTCACGGCTTCTCAATAATTTACTCATTTTTAATGTGAATCAGATAAATAAATGACAAAAATATGAAGAAGAAGAAGAATAAAAAGAAGAGGAATTCCCATTCAATCTGATTAATTTGAATACCAACCATGTCATATGCGCAGTAGAATCGATCGATGTGTAAGGTCAACGCACACTGTTGACTATATATATATATATATATATGCTTCGGTTCAAATTATTTTCCAGTTTTCTATCTCCCTCTTCTCTCTTCTGTCTCCTTCCCGCTCTCTCCCATTCCGTCTGTCGCTTTGTTCCGTATTCGGCTTTTTCATACTTTTTTCGTCGTCATTTCTCCTCTCAAACAATTTGACCTAATGATGAGTCATCCTATTATCGGTGTATTGATGGCTATACAAACTTAAAAAGCTTAAATGAGTGTATACAACTGCCTTGTATTTTTTTTTACATTAGAAAATAGGCTATGCTATGTTCAATTAATCATCCATTCTTTTCACCGTCTGTTTGTCAGGAAGTTTAAATTCACCACCTAAGGCTATTTTCCTTTACTCACGTTAAAGGCAACAGACTGACAGCCGTATAGGATAAATTTATTCGAGCATAAAAGTAGGCATTTTTTGCCTCTTTCTTTCTGTTTCTCCTGGGATTTGTTCATTTCATATATGTACTGTCCTCCTCCCTGTCGGCAAACTAGAAGTTCAAATAATGTTGAAGTTGATAGAAAAAAATAACTTCATAAAGATCAATACCTTTACCTCTTACTGTTATCCCACAGGATAAGAAAAAAAAAAGAGGAACTCTGTTAGACAATGAACCAGCCAACAACCTATTGCTGAACAAGTATGCACAAAGGTTAAGCGGACTCTTAAATGGACAAGATCATGTGAAGAAGAAACTAAAAGTCACTGGCAAACATGATGGAAGAGAGTCCATTGGAATGACGATGTGTCACTGAAGGCTTATATTCCACTAGGAAAGTAAAGCATGCATGGTAATCATAATAAATGATTTAAATCAACATCAACATAAGTACAGTCGTATTATTATTATTATAGCCATAGTTTCCAAGTGGAATATCGGGCTGTTATCTGCATTTTGCCTGCACTATTCCTCATAAGTTTAATCTCCTCTTGACATAATCCTTCCCATGTCACCATCGGACGTCCATCCTATCATTTCTCGATCGTGTTACAATCAAAAGCCTGGAGTGTGATATCACAGTGTATGTCCAATCCGTCTGCATTTTCTTCTACATATTTGTTGGACAAAACTTTCTTGGATGATTTATTATCAGAGTTATTTGTTTTTTAATTCAATCCTCGTGGCTCAAGTAGTCTAGCGGATTACAGGTTGATATTTAAAACGATGAGTACTGTGTTTGAGCCTCATTGGGAACACCATTGCTCAATGGGAATGTAGGTACGTCTAGATGAGGATTTTTAAAGAAGGTGAAGTGTGCATCCTGGATTCCACTGTTAACCACCTTCCACCAAATTTACTAGTTGCGCATCCTTCCCTACTGGCTATTCGATCTATGATATCGAGCCAACGGAGTGGACATCTTTCGATGAAAGTCTACAGTAGCTTGTTAGAAATTCTTTTGTTGATGTGCGCGCTAAATCTTTCAACTACGCAAAAAGACTGATTTGACATTTGGATGTTGAAAATCCGAATCTTATTCCTTACGATGTGTGCAGTAGATTCTCACAGTGATTTCAGATTAATGAACGTATGTCTTGTAGCCCCAATCCCGACTGGCTTCATCCGTGCTTCCACCAGTAGTTGAAATGATACTATCCAGTCAAGTTAGTATGAAAGAGTTGTCTTCATTAATAATTCACTCATTGATGGTGATTGGTGCTTGTTGCTGTTGTTGTTCGTTAGGTATCTTCATCTAGTCTATCTTCTCTGTGTTCACTGGAAGTCTTATCTTCGCTGCTTCATCTGTCAATTTGTTCGTTTTCGCCTGTACATCTTCGAGTTTCTCCAAAGTACGCTCGTCTTCTGACAACCAACAGTCTGTTAAAAACACATATGTGTATGCACAATACAGCGTATTTGATCACTGTGATGCAGACACTATTCTAACACATGCATACACTCACAGTAGTAAGCCATATTTTAATTACGAAAATAGGCAATCCAAAAAAGGTTAATTATCATAATTGACTGTCTAATTAGTTATCTTTTGGAAATTAAAGAATAACATTCGCATACACCCACTTACCTCTAATGCAGTTCTATCTATTCCCTTAGGATATACTCCCTTGTATCCTTTCAATTCTTCATATGATATAATCTAAAATTATGTTTTAATAAAAATAAAATCGATTAGTCAATGTTCACGAGACGTATTACTAGTAAAACACTTTGTATACCAAATTGAACTACAAGATTCAACTGTTAGTCGAGTTATCACTTCATTATAGTCAATCAGGTCTTCTTTAGGTCAGCTGATCGACCATTGACCATTACAACCAACAGGAAATGCTCGTTCAAATGTCTTCATGCCAAAGATTTTCATCTCACCATTATCATCATTGGTCTCTAAATCGAAGTCTATTTGAGATCGCTCTATATTGTCGTGCTAATTAATGCGTTGCGCAACATACTTCTGATTAATTGACATGAGTAGTTGGACATTACTCACATAAACCAGTAGTGGTGATGAGCTCTGTCTCAGTTGGCGGTTAGATCACTTCGAGTTGGTTAGTAAGCACTACACTCGATGGTGTAGATGGTACCCAACTACTCATCTCGATCAGTTAGTAGTATATAGCGTCACGTAGTGATGCTTTTTTCTTCACGATTGCCGTTTATGTTATCAAGCAGATCATATATTTTGTCATCCGAATAATTTTGGCTTCCATTGGAAACTATGCTGAAATCTCACCGCTAAGTATGTGCACATCGCATGTCGTGAATTCATTTGCGTATTACTGACCTAACGTATCGTGCTAATTGAGTTGACCACATTCTGCCATATGATAGAGAATGTCCTGGTACTGGGATAAGTGAAGAAGGAAATCTGGTAGTCAGCTAGATAACAGCCAAGAACCTATTACTCAACAGATATACACAGCATGAAAATATAAGTGGATTACTAGATACGCACTCTGAGGACATCGTCAAAGAGCATCATACACTAGATGGACCCACGAGTACAATCGGAATGGGAAGCAATAAGTTGGACCTGTTTCTAAAGGCGACACAGAGAAGATTCTGTGACGGAGAGGAGAAGAAAGCTTGCACGTAGTCGTGAGACTAGCAGAAAGTAACGACAAAGAAGGGAGTTTACTGAAGATTTGCCCTTGAGGCTATATGTGCCAGCCGAAACTCAACGAATGCAGAATACTATTGATATTAGATAGTTGGAAGCAATCGGCAGGAAGTCTTGCCTTACCTAGGTTTCGTGCTAGTTGGCACTCACCAGTCAGCAAGGCGTATCTGCAACCTTGAAGGAACTCATGTCCCTTCTGAGATTCAAACCTGCGTTACCCAGTGCTACAGTCAGAGACGTTACCACTGAGGTATTCGGGCTCACGATTGACCTCCTGTAGGACTGCAGTGGGTAGTTTGATTAGACACTAGTAACTAGTGTGACATGTCTAGTCCCTTGTTTGGTGCAGACTGAATTCTATCAGTCAGGTTTGCAATGTGGCCACCATTCTAGGTAGGTCACCATCGTGGTGCACATTGGTTTGATGGTATTAGATAGTTGGAGGCAATCGGCAGGAAGAAGAACACTACTAATAGATGTTGAATAATAGTATGTTCTCGAAGGAAATAAACTTCGCATACATTATTATCATCGTTTATCTAACTAATTCTGCACTTAATATACTACTTATATCCAGAGATGGAAGTATTACATAATATGGTATCTACCACTTTATATTTAAATAATTAAAGCCGCCACTGAAGGAACAAACGTGAGGAAAGGAATGCTGTCAAAAACATAATTTATAAAATGTTACAGCTAAATAACATTCTCTCATACACCAAATTTCTGGTGTCAATATTATTTATAAATAGTTTGGTATATTCTAATTTTCGGATTGCCTTCGAGGGAAAATATATGTCAACTAATAATGATAGATGATTGGTGTAAACATTTAGGAATAATCTCATTTAGAATCAGCAGTCAAATAATTTAGACATAAATTTGGAGATTTATCCGTTGCCTTTTGCATGACAAGCGCATATATAGTCGGTTATAAATTGTGTTAGTCAAAAAGTCATTTTAGAAGATAATTGGTAAACATATCATTAGTCAGCACTAGCGGTAATAATAACGATAATAATTCACGAAATGACATGTATATGATTCAGCAAACTATGAAGAATAAAACACATAGTCAATTACATCAATTCAAGCAAATTGACTATCAAATTAGTATAAAGACCGAAAAATAAAGAAGTTAGAGCATCGAGTTAGACCACCGACTGATATCAGATAAGAAACCATTGAAAAAAAGCCAGGCGTTATTGGCTAGCTGTTTCATCGCAGTTTTAAGGTTCGTCAGGAGTAAACATCCGTGACCTCACTGCCCGGGATCGAACCAAGGACTTTCAGGTTACCAGGTAAACTGCTTGACTTCTTACTAGAAACACAGGCAATTTCATCCGGTAGATAGTCACTAGTGACAAGCTGCGACCTATAGGGTATATCAAGGTGACTGTGACAGTAATTACTCGCTGGTGACATTGACTTGCGGTTGCTGATATTCATAGAACATTCAATTCGGTCAGAAGGCTCACCTCGTAATCTTAAGACCCTAAGTGTGTACTGCTGAAGAGTGTCAAACAAGGACGGGATGACTTTATGGTACTGTTTGATTTTCTATGGTTCGCTAACTGTTATCATTTCACCAGATAACTTGAAATCAATCAAATCTCTGCAAATCAATAAGTGAGAAATCGGATGGTTTGAAGTGAGTGCTATTCATTCCTTTTCTCCGTATAAAATATCTTGCAATTTCATTGGCTTTTTGGATTATCTGTGCTGGTATCAAGCAGGTCATGTATTTTGATCTGAATATTTTAGATTTTTTCAATAAAAGTGTCAGACATTTTCACTTTAAGCGGTATAGTTTGTAAATAATGAGTTTGACACTACTCAAAATTTTTTGACATTTCAATGACATAAAATGTAGTATCAGTGGGTTGAAGATATAGGACATGTTGTTGTGCTATTCTCATACATTTGACTAAGTTGGTACGTCGCAATTCTAATTCACTAGTAGTTCTGACAGTCTGAAAGTCCTGGTAACATGTCTGAAACCACTGAGCCGTATAATCTACTAAATCTCGAAACGACCTAAGCGTAGTTCTATTAAATTGTACTTACAGAGAGTTGTGACAGCACTACAAACATGTTTTACACCATCAACCTCTTGTATTTCTTTATTTCTGTCAGCGTTTACTTGTCTCTGACTTCAGCTCTGAGTGACGGAGGTTAGAATCTCTGAGGGGATATGAGTTCCTTCGAGGCTGGAAATACGGTTTGCTAACAGGTACCAGTTGGCACGAAACCCAAGTGTACGACTTCTAAACAGTAACCACCAAATTCGTAACGCTTATATCCATTAAACCTACTTCTACGGGCACACAGATATCGAATTGGCAGAAAATAGAATTCCTGTTCCATTGGATCTCCTCCTAATGGCTGGAAGGTCAACCGACTCACCTTGTGTGATCTCAAGACACTAAGTTCGGCTCCTGAAGGTTGAGTGATGGGTGTGCAGTGCTGAAGACTCTCAGACTAGGATGAAACACTTGTCCTTGGTTTTCTAGTTGATATTAATCCATGACCTAGCTTGATACATATTTGAGTTTCTGTGATTCACTAACTCACTGAATCCACTCAAACACAAGCTGACATGTCCATGCATACATAAACTTTTTTTTTGGAACTTACTTTAGGCGCAGGTGGTGATACTTTCTGATGGAATACAGCACTGGGTGATGAAGACATTAATAGAACACTTGGATGACTTGGACTTGATCCAATTAATCGACGATCATCACTATATCTTGAATCTCCGTTATGGTGTGAATGACCATTAGGTATAGTACTATGTTTAATGTTAAGCTTTGATAAATTTGATGAGATGCCATTCATTGATGCAGTATTATTATTGTTGGCATTATTGACATCATCATCACCATCATCAATTGGTGAATAAATTCTTATCGATTCCACCGTAGCAGTTCGATTATCAGATTCCGATAAATTTTGAACAGTATGTCTAAGACTGTCACCATTTAATAATTTCGCTGTGAAAGAAATAAATAAAAGAAGAGAGGTTGAAAAAAGACAATCTAAAAATCGACTCAAACCAAATAAAAGGATTTGAAACACACATATCTAAATCCTATTTTCCCAATGATCCATAAAAGTATGTTTTCAACTTCATTGGTGTTGATTTAGATAAGACTGTTATATAATTTTCACGAGTTGATTTGTTTTCCGAGTTTCCCCACGGAGTGATATTAGTTAGAGAACTATTAAAAACCAGCAAGGAATACCGGACATCGGTTTGGTCCTAGTTTGGGACTCTTTATCAGAACACAACCACTGTTTTTCGAACCCAGGCCCTTCCGGATACCAGGCAAGTTTGTAGACCATTCAGCCACTGGGACCCAAGTCAATGGTTCATGAATTCTAACTTCCTCCAACTCTTGAAAATTAATCCAATGCACGCTAGTGACTTGCTACAGGATGGAGTTTCCACCGATAAAATTGGTTGGTGGTCGTGCAAAATCCCAAATTGGTAAAAGTTAGAATTCATGGGCCAATGAGCAGGGTCCTAGTAGCTGAATGGTCTACAAGCTTGTCTTGTAACTGGAAAGCACTGGTCTCAAAAACCGGTGGATGCGTACTGATGCGAAATCCAAAACTGGAACAGAGGAAACAGCGCTCCAGAACTCTCTAGTTTTCAACGGTTCTCTAATTGATATGAATCCATGACCAAACTATTCCCATTTTATCTTATTTTGATGGACTGAACATTTTATATACATCCAAATGACAATGTTGACTAACGGGCTATCATTCTATATTATAGATGTATACCAATACAGTTTCTGATATAGTTTTCAATATTCGCGGACGTATAACTATAGATCCTGAAGAAGAAATTATCGAAAACAATTGTTCGGTCGAAACTTATTTTGTGCTGATTACACTATGGGGATATCTAATTCATTGATTATAAAATTATTGGTGGTTATTTCGACCGAGTGTTGAAACAACATAAAATACGACGTATTACTATATCATTACTATTTTTCACTTGGGATCCAAGTAGAACATAGGGCTTCAGAGGTACATCATCATTTCACACTGCTCTGTACAGTCTTTTTTAATCCGGCTCCGCGATTGCCTATAAGCTCATCGTCATATTACCTTCTCCATGTCACCCTCAGACCTACATTCAACTCCTTGTTCCCCAGTCAGGTTCCACTCGAGATCCTGACCTATGATTTCATTCAACGGTTAACTTAATGTGTGTGTGTGTTTGTCTATAAAATAATACGGAGAAATGTAAAAGTCAAATAGAAAACAACAAATTCGTTAACGTACATTTATCATCGAATCGAATACTTCCATTTAGTGTAACTGTTTTCGAATGACCATTTGATAAATTTGTACTAGATGATCTTAAACAACTGCCAAATGATGAATTTATTGGTAGACTAGTTGTCTTTAAATAACCGCCTGATAGTCGACCTCCAGTATAACCAGGTCGAATTGATGATGAACCTATTCATGTTGAAAAAAAACACAAAAGAGATGCAGAAAATTAAAGATCATAACGATAAGAACGACAGATAAAATGGTGTGATGACTAAAGACGTAATGAAAATCACTGAGTCGTGGACTAGTTCGGGACAGTAGTCTGTGAATTACTTCTGTCACACTCTAGCAGCCTCGTTACAAATGTAAGGTGGTGCTTCCGGAGTGGGTTACACCGACCAGAAGTTGTGTTGTCCACTTGTTCGGGAAGTTACGTCAACCCTAATGGGCTGATTGCTGACAGAATCTCAGCACGAATACAAAAAGGTGGTATGATGTTTGCCAACTTACTTCATCTCTAGCGTAAATGCGATATCCGACTAGTGGTTAAAGGACGTAGGTACTGAGCAGTAGTTCACTCTGTCCCCCTTTATCGCTGTGAGACATGTTTATTGAAAGTGGACGATATTAAAAGACTAGCTATCCCAACGTAAAATGGTATGATGTGGTGAGTAATATTCAACTTAGGAGTAGTATCTTAGGTAAGTGGGGTACGTCAGTCGATGAAGTCATGAAGCTACATAGATTGAGATGACTAGGACATGTGTTATGCATTTCAAACCATCGCCTTCCCCAACGAGACGTCAGGGGGTGGTCAAATCGAAATCTAGCATCAGTCTATGAAGACTTTAACGGTTGGTTTGAGATACGTGGGAAAGTGTTGACCCTCTGGTTGGGGCCCTTGTGACGACAGGAGCACTGCTGATGGTATGGCTGGGAACCGTTTTCAGCGGCTAGAGTGTAATCATTCTTTGTACTCCTCTGTCACCTTACCTAGCAGGTAGTATGCACATAAAGAAAGGAAGTTTGGATGTGAGGTTACCAACTCTAATCCATAAAATTAATACTAGGTTTTAATTTGACCACCTATGTCTTTTCCAATGAAATGCTATGTTAGCAACATTGCTTGATGAGGTAGGAGACAACTCAACGTTTCTTCCTCACCTAACACTCTGTGTCTAACTTTAGTATTACTCACAATATTAAACTATTTAACATGACTAGCAAAACGTATACATCTATGATCAAATACATACAAACTCTTCGTATCTTCCACTTTCATCAGTCATGTCTCATAGGTGTAAAGAAAGATTGGAAGAACAATACAAAATCAATACCAAAAAAGTGCTAAAAATTCATCAGATATCTTTTGGTTACATCAATAAGACATCGAATAAATCACCATCCAATGGTTGTTTAACAGATGTCAATTCGTGGCCAAAACTTGATACAAATCAAATAACTACAAATGAACTCTTGAAAATTAACCTGATGCTCACTGGCAAGTGGTTACAGGACGAAGCTGCTTAGAGTTCTAGGCATAAGTCGTGACCAGTGATGTCCACCCGGTTGAGAGTGAGTATAAATGCTCGCCGATGATATTGGCTGTTGACAGTCACGCTAAATACCATGAATAGGTAGGAGTTACAACTCATGGATCATGTAGTCTGATCCTAGTGGTTGAATGGTCTACGAAGTTGCCTTGTAACCACAGCGGCCTGGGTTCGAACCCAAGTTAGTGGGTGGCGTATCACTGATAAGTTCGAAAAATAGGACGAAACACCCATCTAGTACTCCTTTCTGGTTTTTGATGTTTCTGTAACTGTTATAACTTTGTGGTCAAAACTAAGTGTAAATATATCAATCTAAAAATATTCATAATACAGGTAGGTCCTCTGTCTGAAGTGTAAAAATGCGCACAGGCATATACACACCAACGTCATGATGAATTCTATTTACAAAAATAATTAATAATTATGTTTACACACTAATTAGTTGAGAATAAATGATTGTCAGTAAATAATGCGACTGATAATAATAATAATAATAATAATAATAATACTTAGGATAACCTCACAGACGACCTCACACACACACACATACACATGTAAATAGGTACAAAATTCTTGAAACTTGTCAGTCAGAGATTGCTTAAATTGAAATATTTTTCATTTGTTTAAATTATCAAATGTCACAGAAATATTTTTTACATACTGTTCACATTATTACTGATACATATATGAAGCTACTAACAAAGACAAGGTCAATGGTAGCTAATTAGCCAATCATACACTAAGAATAGTAATACACACAACGTAGATGTATTTTTATGTAAATGCTGTCGAATTTTAATTTTTCTGCGTTTATTTCTTCAGTTCATTTTAAATAATGAATAAATGAGTCATAAACACATTATTCATTCACATTCACATATATCACAAAATGGCAAAAGTTATAATTCATAGGTTGAATTGTCAACGTTATTAGTCGAGTCACCTGAAGACCCTGGGTTCAATCGCTGGTAGTGTAGGTGTGCACTGCTGAAAGGCCAGTCAATCCCAAAAACTAGGACGAAACAGGTCTACAGGCCCTGCTAGATGATATTAGTTCGTGATGAAATATATGTTAGAATGCCTTAATTTGTTTACAAAACAAATTGAGGACAATAAATCAACAAACAAAACAGGAAGGAAAACCAAATCCGTGAATGTATGTACGTGTGTGTTTTATAAAATTATTTATGTTCATGCGTGATTTGTGCGTATTGTGTAAAGCAAAATAATGGCAATGATAGCTGATAAATTATATATATATATATATATATATATATATATATATATATATATATATATATATATATATATATATATATATATATATATATATATATATATATATATATATATATATATATATATATATATATATATGATAACACTAACTGAAAGTGTGATAATAAGCATATTGATCATCAAAATTTGTTTGATAACTAGGCTAAGCCATGTAGAAATTCAGATGTCCTAAGCAATAATTAGATTATATAAAAAATTAAATTTCAAGTTTCATCTGAGAACCATCGAAAACCAGGCCAGTTATTTCATCCTAGTTTGTGACTCTTCAACAATATGCACCAACCATTCCAATTTCAGTGACCGAACTATGGACCTTTTCGGGCGGAATCCAATGTCCACTCCATAGATTCTAACTTCTGCATGACTTTCAACCAATAACATGGTCGAGTAATAGTGTTCACACCCAAATTGGTGGACCCCACCAGTCAAGACTCCCCAGTAGTACTTCAGGCAACTTCATTCTGAAGTCAATCACTAGTGAGAAGTAGATTATTGCTAAAAGTTAGAATCGATAGGCCATTGGATTCTTTCCCAGTTGCTGAATGGCCAACAGGCGAGTCTAATAATCTGAAGGTCGTATATTTCATCCCTGTCGACGAAACAGCTCTGCACTACTCTGTGCTGCTTCTTAGTGATTCTCTGACTGAAGTGAGTTTGTGATCAAACTTAAAGATGGAACAAATCGCTGAGGGGGTACGCTTGAAAATTATATTTGTGTAAATCTCAGCAAACCCTAATTTTCAAATATGTCTACTTTTCACTAGGTACCCAATTTCTATGGAACTATTCGGTCAAGTTTTGATCAGAGTTCGCATAAATAAATAGGTTATTCTAAATTTGTGCATCAGCAATATTCATGAATGAATATAGTGTGTGTGTGTGTGTGGGGGGGTGGATGGGAGGGGTGGAAATGTACACATAAACTTTTCACTGTAAAATTAGAACGCTCATTGTTTCTGAAGTAATGGATACTGATTAAAGATGAGATGAAAATCTCGGTCACTTTCATTGAAAGTGAAGTAATAATTCTTCCCAAGTTCGATGACATCAACAAAATCTCACATGCGTTGATATGACTGGCAATTATAACAATGCTGCGACTTGCGTTTGGTATAGGAATGCAGTAAGTAACTTGTTTGAAAAATGAAAATCAGTACTAATTTCTGACCTTCAAGTTCTGCCTTTCAGAGATTTGACTGGTTGCAGGTTTAATCACCAAGTAACTTAGATTAGGGAACCATTGAAAAACAAGAGTGTGGCGAAAAGTTACTTCGTTCTTGTCTGGGACTTATCAGCAGTATGCACCTGTGGTGCCTCCTCAAGCGACCGAACCCGGGACCTACAGATTACAAGGTGAGCCAATCGACCATTCTGCCGCTAGCATGTAATCTAATGAACTGGTGTGATCATAAGTGAGTACTTCTGAAGAGTCATCAACTAGGAGGGAATAGTTGCCCAGTATTCTGTGAAGGTTTTCAATGGTTTCCAATGCTAAAATCAGCTCTTTATCTAAATTACTGCAGCTAGTAACTATGAAGAAAGTTTACCCCCACCCCCAGCTTTGATTTTAGTCAGTTTGATGACAGACGACAATCTAAAATATGCATTCAGTTACTTCTTTGTTTAGTCCCGTTTATTTGAAAGAAAAAAAAACACAATAAGAACTTGTTAGAATTAGTTTTTCTCCTTCCTTTTATTTTCTCAGTGGGAGATAGAGCTTCAAGCTCGAGCTCCGAAGTTTTAGTAGCACTGGTTATTTTTACGATGTGAGGTGACTAGCCTCAAAACCCAACTTTCCCTCTTCACAGTACACATGTGTGAACCACTGATGTGCCCACAATGATAATAATAACTGTGACCCTAAATAGTCCGTATACTATTGTGTTATTGGAATTTTGGGTAGTTGAAGGCAATTAGCAGACACCTTGACCTCACACTTATTTATAGTCCACTTCCATGGCAGGTCTCATAATCTGATGATCATGTTTCAAAATTGGCTGATAGAATTCTCTCACCGTCAAACACAAAGGACTATATATATATGCATAGAGGTACTTGAGAAAATCAGTGTCTCAACAATGACTAGAAAGTCTGAGTAGAAGTCAGGAGGAAGGTAGCTGGAGAGAGAGAGAGAGTGAGAGAGAGATAGGGAAAATGATGAAGAGCCAAAAAGAGACTGGAGTGGAAGTTAAGAAAACACAACAGGAAGTAAGGCCTAAAAATCTATAATGTATAAACTAGTCATCAATGGTTAACAAAATAAATAAGTGGGAAATGGATAAAATATCTCTAACTGTATCTTTGTAAAATTTAGTAGAGGATAGAAGAGAATAA